AAAAAAAAAAAAAAAACACACAAGAGTGTCACTTTATAAAAGATCTATCTTTTACCTTTTCTTTGAATGCGCTTTTATGTAATATATAATATAGATATAACTTTAATATTTAATAATAATAAAGAAAAAGAAAAAACTTTTCAATCAAAATTTAATTATCTAATAATTTATAATCAATCAAAACTGAGGAATAAAAAAATTGGAATTTCTGTAACTTTTTATTGATATGATAGTTTTAGACATGTTTTATAATTTATCAGATTGTGCACTCTATTGGTCATTATTGTGTGATGTTATATAACTAAGGAAAATAACTTTGGCCTCTCTTTAACACTCTCGTGCAGATTAGAGTGTGCCTAATAAGAAACCTGTAATTTTAGATGAGCTATCAAGAACGCACATAAAAAATCATCTCTATTTTAGAAAAATTTCAAGACAGATTTATACTTCGACACGGTTGCTCCATCAGAGAAAAAGCGGCTCGTAAAAATTCGAATGCGGATTTTAATCGGATTCGAATCTGAGATCTTTTGATTACCAGGCCGGCACAGATTAACTAAGCAATGAAGGTCGCTCTGTAATACTCACTGCAGTTAACAACATTTTATCGTTTTTCTGATTAACTGTCAAAGCCTCTGAAAATTCAATCAGATAAGTTGAACCTCTTTTATTCGCGACTGCAGCTAATTGTCCTTGTTCATGAGGTCGTAAACACGTTAAACTCTCGTCACACACCTATAAACATTACAAAGTGATTTGACAATTTCCTAAATATGTGCATATAATTGCACACCTTTATACTAAGAACTGGAGAATCTTGTTGGATTAAAAAATCCCACACATCTAAAGTTCCGTCCGTCTTGATGAGATAGTACACAGAATAACGTGTAGCGCTCCACGCGCCACCCGTAAGAAAATCTCGGTGACCACTACAAAAAAGATTGACATCGTGCTTAGCAGGTTTTCTGTATAAACTTCGTGTCGTATTATTCCAGTACTTACGGTGTCCAGGCTATGCAGGATTCTCTGCAGTCTTCCGACCAAATTCTCGAGGTCCAATCGCCAACTGTCAAAAAATTCTTCACAAACATCGGATTTCTTTCCAAACTTATAACTGGCCCGTACTGAGCCTTAAATCTTGTCGCAATTTTCTCACCGGGTGTTTTACCCTTGCGATTGCCCGATATCACGACACCTGAGTAACACATTAAAATTTGTATCTTTTTTTTACATAATTAAATCGATTAATCGATTACGATTTATCAGTTCAGCAGATATGATACCGTTTTCCAAACCGCACATAAAACGCGTTCCTATTGACGATTCAAATTGGAGAGCAGAGATACCGATCGCTTTATCCACGTTCTGATCTTCCGGTCTTGACAGATCTATCACCAACGTCTCCGTAGGAATCTGTAGCTTCCTGGTGTCCCACCACTTTATCTAAAAACAAACAATAAGTACATCAGTGCTAATGATTATTTTATTGTCAATAACCACAGCCGCGTTTTTATTACCTGTCCGTCTTTCGACGCACTGAAGAACTCGGTGCCAGTTTTAGAGTTAATCCACAGAGTCTTGTCGCAAGGATCTCTGTGACTGGACTCGATCGAACTAATGTCCACCGCTTCTAATCCTCTTCTAATGTCCCAGCAAGACACTTGTCCGGTCATTAAACCACCCACTAGGATATTGTTATCTTTAGGACTGTATTCCAACGTTAAGATAGAGCATAATGTTTTCAATGTCATATATGGATTATTTGGATTCTCTGAAGAGAAAATAACTTATTACATGAAACTATTAGGTGAAAAATTATTCAACTTCAATTTTTGTCGTGTGCTTACCCACTTCCCAAATGTACGACGCGTTGTTGCTGCTGGAATTCTTAAAATCGGTATTGCAATAACTAGCTGCAAAGCGATTACCTTGATCCGGTGACCACGACAAGTGAGTGATCTGCCGTTTCACTGTTGAAGGATCGCGATAAACGTTTACTGTGCGCGAGAAAGCTCTCTGTATCAGCGAGATTGCTTCCACATCGGCAAAATAATGTTCATAGATATTGCAAGCGTTGTTCTGCAGTATACAGTGCTCCATCGACTTAGAAATAACATTTCGTGCAAATGTATACATATATATATATATATATATAAAGTTAATTGTGATATAACTGTAACAGTCAAGTCAAGAAGAAAGACAATTACAGGTAATAACTGAAGCATTGTATGAATATACAATTCGTCTTTCTCAATTTTGCGTCTATATCTGACCGTCTGTTCTAAATCTTTCATGTTTATGTCCTTTGGCCAGCCACCCTCATAATGAAACATCTTGTTGTCCTTGTAAGTTGCAGTAGTAGTATTTATCTGTAATTATGTAGACATATTGTTTATTTTTTCTCTTAGTACATCTCTCTCATAAATGTTGCTTATACCTCGTGAACTGCATATGTTTTACTGCATTGTGTTGCGTGTATCACAGGATCCAACCTGACGTAATTGTTCATTAGTGCTGAATTAGAACTGATTTTCATCTCCGTTTTATTGGAATCGGAGAAATTGCATTTCTTCCCAAAATGCATCCTTTTTTTTGTATAAGCATATTCTACATCCATTGTGTATAAGTTAACTGCGTACAATTGCTGAATAAAAACGTGTCTGTGGGATAATTGTACTGAAAAAATTTATTTTATTTGACATTACATTTTTATTTCTTTACACAATAATAAAAAATGACACAATTGTTCGTATTCGGTAATAACATGTAATGTGCAATGTAATAGGAATTTATTATATGTAAGTAATTGTGCGCCCTTGTTCACTTTCACTTGCTACTTCCGCGAAAAGAAGTATCGCTATTACAATGGTTACTATAGCAACAAAGTGTGTATCATGGTTGTAAGATTTAGCTGTCGGTGTTCACTAAAACTGGCACTTTAGGATTTAAACCTTGACAAAGAATAAACATCGTTTTGTATATTCGCGCATATTCCGCACTCGAAGGATAGACGGGTGTAGATTTAACAGCTGGTATTACGTCGCATAAAACAATGCGGATCAAGTTGTCTTGGTACTCTGTCAGTTGTATTTTTTGTATAGCTTCGTACAGCGATAGCAATTGCTTTTTATCACAGTATGTTATGTTGTACGATTTAGAAAAATCTAAAATAGAAAATACAGAATCGAGACAAAATAATATTGCATAAACAAAATTAAATTAAGAATCAGAGTCGATTTATTTATATTATGTAAAAAATTTACTTTTAAAATGTTCCATGCAAGAAGTATTCCAAATACCGTTCGACATCCATCCTCTTGTCAAGGAGAAATTGCAAAAAAATTCTTTAACTACAGGTTTTACAACATCTTCTTTATTATATCGTTTTAAAGCGGATGTTAATTTGACGACGGTGTTTTTCAAACCATTGACTCGTATTGAATCTAAGTAATCGCTAAAAGCCATACTAAATACAGATATCGAATCTGCTGTTGTTTTGAGCAAATGAGAGTCTTGCGACAAATCTTGCGCAGCTATATTCTGCAACAAATACAATGCCGATGACATATAAAATAAAATTTTCTTTTTTCAAAAGTGCGACGCAGTTTTTTGTTACTTACCATCGCTTCAAATTTATTTAGAAAATTATCAATCGATTTTGCAGATTTGCTATCTTCGAACCTCAAGCTATGTGTTTCGGTTTTTAAAAAAGCATGGTAAGTTCTCAATATTTTAACGATTTCATTTGGTACATCAAAATAACAGAGCGCTTTCACTAAATCTATTGATGTGAGATTTTCTTGAACAGAATAATTTTCTCCGTGTACCGAACAATTGAACATATTGCTGTCGAGAGAAGAAGTTAACGCATTCTCGGTAGATGATCGCGTTATATTGTGTATTAAATCGTTCAATGCGGCGGTCGATGCTTCAGGCGATACAAACTTTCTTGACTGAAATAAAAAATAAAATAAACAAAAAACTATCACATATTAAACACTTATGGATATTTTTCTTATAAGTCTTTTTCCACATCAGATATAATAAAATATTTATTTTTTCTGTAATATTATATATTATTATTGTTATTATTATTATTATTATTATTACATACGTTTTGAAGAGTAATATTACTATCGGAATTACCACTATCAGCTTGTAATTTATTTGCTAAACTTAGTTTTTTAATCTTTCGTTTATTCTCCAATATAAAATTCTTTTCTCTTTTTGATTGTACAATTTTTATGGATGACACTTTTGGTTGAAATTTATCAGTTGTACTTTGCTTTATATTGCTGATAGTTTTTGAGGATTGCGTTGCAACAGAAGTCGTTTTGTCACTTTGAGGTACGGTTAATTTCTCACAGTCTTTTACGGAACTTTTCGCGGTATTAACATTTTGCGTTACAACAAACTTGCTTTTCTTGCGATTGTTAACCGTAGAATTAGGCAAATAGATATTCTCAAGTGTATCTTTTCTCTTTGAGATTTTTTTCTTCAACGTTACATTAAGCTTCAATTGTTCTCGCAATTCTTGCGCCAGATTTATCGCTCTGCCTATCTCCGCGGTGACTTCTTCAGTTTTATTTTTCTCCGCAATCTAATAAGAAAATTATAATGGCATAAAATCAAAACAAATGTAGAATTCAATAAAATGTATCATACTTTTTTGCAGGTACAAATGTCATCTGCTCGATTTTCGACGGTGATTTCCACCTGCCATGGTTTTAAAACATATGTCGCTTCATCACAATTCGTTCTTAAGGTTCTTTTCACATTCTCTGTGGTCAACAGAGTGTCGTCTAACAATTCGTACAAATCTGACGAATTCAACGTACGAGTCGTTACTTGCGTATTTCTTTTACAGTCCTATATATAGCAAAAGAAGTATACGTTATATTGCACAAACACAAATGATAGAAAATAGACAAAATATCTTTGTGCCGCTCAAAGTATTAATTTTGCTCAATAATAAAGTACGATTGATAAAATTACTGTTCCGAACAATAAATTATGATTTATATATGGAAGAGGGGAGAGAGAGAATGTGTGTGTGTTATCCGTAAAGTTTAACACAGGGGTATATAATCCGTTATTGTTGCTTATATCAATTTACGCAAACATATTAACATTGCTCGCAAGATGCAAGTTAAATGCATGATAATTCGTGCGCACTTGTGCAGAAAATATTAAAAACTTTTATATTTCTATGTACATACAGTATTATAGAATGTACACTACAGTAGTGATAATAAAATAGACACTTAAACCAGAATAGAATAATCTTTATATATTAAGAATAATATATGTAATAAAGGCTTAATATGTGTGTGTATGTGTGTGTATATATATATATTTATATACATACATACATATATACACGCGCACACGCACACACACACGCACACATATATAATTTATTTTTCGGTTTTTTTGTTTTACAATAATGTGCCTAATTTTCTAATTTCAGTCAATTAAAATCTAACATTGAAATGGCTGCCTATCCTAAATATATAATATCTAAAACCGTCACACTTATGCGCGACAGCTTTAAATGCTGTAAATTGGAAATGTTTGTTTGTAAATCACTAACCCTCCCAGAATGTCTGAAGACTTGCTTCCGCGCCACATCGGCGACAAATCGCGTTAGAATATGACATTGATAAAAGTAAAGGTTTTTATAAAAATAACACATGATTCGAGATATTCTTAGTAGTAACGTAGATACGTACTTGTTGTTTCACAATTTAGAAGGAGAAATATGCGAAACTACATAAACACCGCAGAAGGCATCATGTCGCACGTTGATACGTCAACAATGTACGTGCGACATAAATGGCATATACAATCGCGTAGAATATAGATTCGACGAGTTTTCCATGTATCATTATCGCGCGCAGTTAAAAATGCACAACTTTTCGTGTATTTCTGGTTGTAATCTACTTTTCCGTATCAGGAAACAAAAATAACTAACTCCATTTAATACGGAAGTATACCATTCGAACATATCAGTCGCGTCAATTCTGTGCAAAACATATAAAAACTCGTAAATATAATTTGCACACTGCGACATTCCATAAACCTAAGATCCTAGAGTACAACAAGTATGAGAATGCATCACTGAGTTATCTTTGCATATAAAAGAATTATCTTTGTATGCGTGTGTGTAAAATGGAAAAAATTATGGATGTTAGTTAATTGGATGCAGGAAATAAAAAAGATTGAACAATGATTTTATTCCTTATAATGATTATGTGCGTTTACAACTCGTCCTTCCTTGGCACATCGTCGTCCTCGTCTTCCTCTTGAGCCTATAACAAAAACGAGTAACATATAACATAATGCAACATGAAGAGTACTTTATATCTTTGACAGATGTGACATACCTCATCTGGTGCTTGACCGTACTTTCCACCGCTTTCAATGAATTTGGAAAGACCCTCGAGCGTTCTTTCGCCATTGAACTCTATAGCCTACGAAGCAGATTATCGAAACAAGCACGTTTTGATATGTTGCAAAATATAACAATAAAAATCGTTTAGATGTGAAGTTTGTACCTGGTTCGTTTCTTTCTTGTAGAGAGTGAGTGTGGGGAAGTTGATGATCTTTACATCTTCTAGTTCGTTGGCAGTGGCATCCATTTTCGCGATAACTAGCTTGTCGTTGCTCTTATACTTTTCACCAAGCTAAAGTCAAACGTGTTTATTTGTCATTAAAAAAGTTTTCATTTTATCGATCCTCAATGATATTATATTCCTAAAACAACTTACTTGCTCGTAAATGGGCGCAAGCTGTTGACAATGGCCGCACCAAGGTGCATAGAATTCGACGAGAACATCCTTCTCTTTGTCATAGGCAATTTCGTGGAAATTCGTACTGACGAGAATCTTAACTGGATTTTTGTCCCAATCTTCGGGCAGATCTTGCGTAAGCAGATGTCGCTTCAATTTACCTTCTATGAAAGCATTGACAAATTCCACAATGTTTTCGGTAGTGATCTCTGGATTGTCGGGCTTATATTTGGCCATATCCTGTTCGAGCTTGATAAGCCGCATAGCGGGTACGTCGTCCTTTTTCAAACCGAAGAATTCCAGAATGCGTTCGTGATCGGTCTCGTCGCAGTCGATCGTCACAAACAGAACCTATACACAGATATTTGAAATTATATAAAATATTTATTTTCTTTAAAATAATATATATCCAGAAAAGAAAAATATAGAGTTTCATACCTCACCACGGTATTTCTTCGCGGGTTCTTGAATTCCTTTAAGGTATTTTTCAAAATGACCAGCTTTCTTGCTGAGAAAAACTAACAAGTGGCTCTTGATATCACCGCTAAATATTTTCTGTGCTGTGTCCTGGTTGAATTCGACGACCAAAGGTAATGAATTTACGAAAATAAAATTCTCCACATTCTTAGCGGTAACCTCCTCATCAAAGACAGCTTTACCTTCATCAAACTATATAAAACAAGTAATAATTAATTTGACTAATTAGAATTAAGTCTTCTTTCCAAGTACTAAAACGTATGCTGTACAGACATACTTTCTTAAACAAGACAATCTTTCCATCTTCTACTTCGTATTTACTAAATACTTCATCGGCACTAGTAATACCGAATACGTGATCATCGATCCTGTTGCCAACTTCCAAGAAGACCTTGGCAGCGTCACTACTGACGTCCTAATAAAATTGTTACATATGTTTATAAACAGGGATAAGCTATTATAACAGAGTAATCTCTGTTATTACAACAGATCAGAAAAACATTCTACATTCTATTGTTACTAAATGAAACCAATATGTTATCAATATAATTGTAAAAAGAAAAATACAGACTCAACAAGATCTCAGTTACTTTATACCTTAAAGAAACCAACAATAACGACATCGTGTGCATCAATAAAAGATTTTGCTTCATCGACTGTTGGCAAGTCTTTAGCAGGCGGTCCAGTCTTTTTGTTCAGCCAGGATACAATTTCATCAGCTTGACGACCACCCGTGTAATCGATTGGATTTCCTTTACGATAGAACTTGAGAGTAGGATATCCCCTCACACCGTGTTTCTCAGCAAGTTGGGTTTCGACTGTTGCATCTACTTTGCCTAATTTAATTGGTGACTGAGCTTCTTCCAATTTCTTTGCAGCTTTAGCATATTCCGGCGCTAGAGCTTTGCAATGTCCACACCATGGAGCGTCTGTGAAAAATATAATAAAGTTTACATTCAAATAAATCCAAGTCTATAATTTTGTAATAAATATCTTAATTGAGACTAAAGAAAATATGTAATATGTGATTGAAACTATTTCTGTGAAATTGTTACAATTGTTCCAATTCTGTTGGCATAAAGAAAACATCAAAAAAATCTTATTACAGTTCTATATAGAAAAATCTTATATACAAATTAATCTGTGTTACTGAATTATTAATAGCTACCATATGATTGATCGTAGAAAAGCAATTAGTTATTTAAAATTGATTAAGTCAATCATATCTCCAAATCTCCGTTTCAATAAATAAAACGAGATTACTTGATCGTCACGCTACTGATACATATTACGAATCAATTTTCATTGTTTGATCATTTTATATGTCAATTAAGAGTCATAATTATCGGCGATGTAACGCAACGCGAACGTTGTAGCTATAATCGCCAGCCGGGCGATTTACAAGATGATATAACGGTAAAAGAGTATGTGGAAAAGATTTTTACAGTCGCACTCTTGCACATCTTGTGCACTAGAGCGAAACAAACGCACGGCAAGAAGACAAAATGACTTCGCAAAATTCGAGAAACGCATAAAAATACACGTCTATATTTAAGCAAGATTCTTGATTTACATTGGCCTGCAGAAAAAATCCTCTATCTCCCCCCCCCACCCCTGCCGTCTTCAAGAGACATTTAAAGGACATTGGCGAGATCAGGATCTTGTGTATTGCTGTGATGAAGTTTAAAAAACATTGCATAAATACTAATCGAAGCGGATGTCTTCGTTTTTTTACTTTCTTTTGCTTTTTCTCTTTACGAACAAATGTGCCGAAGATTTCACTCATATAACGTTACATATTTAGATCATCGAAGGAAAAAATAGAAGTGACGGACAAAAGAAGAGATCGCACAGCGATCGACCGGTGCGATTGATTAATCGTCATCGTCGAAATGTCCAGTTGTCGGTTTCTCGTGTTCATCTCCAAAAATGCTAAACTATGATTGATGACGTGTAACGGGAATTCGTGCTAGCATCTGTTTCACGTTGCCGGCAGATAAACGCGCGTCAGCAGAGATATGATACCCACGCAAAAAAAAAAGAATCCATCGAATATTCTTTCCTCTGTTCTCACTTTTAGTTTGTTACTTTCTTTTGCATTTTTTTTTGTGTTTCCTTTTTAAATATTGTATAGAAAAATACAAAGCAAAAGACAAGAAAGTTGACTGACAATATGCATAGAGCGTAGGCTGCTCGGAGTCTCGCGAAGCGAGCAACAGATTAAAATAATTCAGATATGAGAGATACTCACAGAATTCGACGAGCACGTATTCGTTGTCCTGAATGATACTATCGAAGTTATCCTTGGTAATCACCAGGACACCCTCGTCTACCTCGACTTTGGCAAGGCAAGCAATGACGAGGCATAATGCCGTCAAACAGAATCCTGTGGATCTTCTCATGTTTGATCGGAAATCCGGGGAAAGATTTTCTCTCGTACAAGCGGGGAGCGCTCTCTCTCCTTGTCTCTCGTTCCGATGTTGAATCCGGATATATCGGCCTACTTCACTGACGAGACAGATGTCGAATTTAGGAAGACCGGAAAGAACACCGTCCACAAGGAACACGCGCAATAAATGAACACGCGTTGCTGCGTCGGCGGGCGGTTGAGGTTCGCGTCAGTTCGCGTTGGAATCGCGCTTTCGTCGCGAACGCATACGCGTGGCATCGTCCTCATCGTGGGGTTCGCTGATTGGCTGATTCGCCATCGGCCATGCCGGTCATCCGCGATCACGTCAATTGACGCGACGAGGAGGTTACCTACCGTCGTGGATCGCGGCTGAGCGACTAAATTCGCGACTTGATTATCATCGATGATAAAATTATTAGATATAATAAATATGTGTATACAATATATATATATATATATAATATGTATGGCGTAATTAAGATGGAACACGTAGATATGCGAACTAAAGCTGATTTGGTTCCTTTATTGATTTTATTTTTTTAAATATATTTTATTTACAAAAAAATAAGTATACAACAATTTTAAAGTTGATTAATTTGATTGAATGTGAAAAATTGAGTGATAAAATATTACCATCTGGCAAGGGAGTTTTTGTTCCGTCGCAACTTATCGGTTGCGGTAATTGCTTTGTGATCATTGCGGCGTCAAAATGGCGCCACGCACGGTTATACGTACCAAGCCGCGTGTTGGTGATGATGTGAGCCGTGAAAGTTCGTGAGAAAATTCTATAAAGCTCGACTGTCAACTTCTTAGAACTTGTAAGAGTAAAATAGTCGCTGTAAATACAAGAAGTAATACGACCAACAATTCATGCTGATATATGTGTTGTAGTTGCGTGCGTGGTTGGAAACAAACAAATGTCAAAATGTCAAAATGACAAGCACAGTTGACAGAAGTGCTGTGAGAAAAAAGCCTGTTAAATGATTTGCTCTCAAGAAGAAGACGCGTTGATTATTCGCTCGGATCTGAGATCGGAGATGTAAAAATTAAAATGTTTCAATATGTTTAAAAGAATTAATAAGATTCAAATATTCTGAAGTTGCATATATATTTTGTATTCTCTCTCTGTAGTCTATCTAAGGTAAAAATGTGAACTTTTGTATATTACATAATAAAAGTGATTTTTAATATAGTTTGATAATTTCTTCTATAAATAGAAAGAGAATAAGTATACAAAAGAACAGTACATTGTTATAAGGTGAAGTATCTTGAAATCTTGCAAATTTAATAACAAATATAGCAAATGTGTATAAAATAATATAAATGTTCTCTTCTACAAATAATTTCTAAAGTCATAAAACATATCTTGCAACAAATAATAGCACAATCAAAGAATTTATATATGTACAAACATTTATAAATTATCCAATTTTGAAATGTGATAATATAAATTTAGTGTAGTTCATACACAGACAACATGATGGCATAAGATTATGGATTATGTAAGTGTTGTTAAGACATAAATTCCCGAAATAAATGCAGTCGTAACATCAAGTAGCCACTAAGAAACGCTTCATTGTCGTATAATCGTCACGAGGCGGAAGACACGTTTCTCGGATCAATCGTTGATTTTCGTGCGTTAATTTCACGACTGCTCGACTCGATCTCTATAGTTACAATCTACAATTCCAACACAATTTATTATTACGATATAATAAAAAAAAAAAAACAAAATACAACTTTAAAAAATATTCTCTTAATAATATATATGTTGTTTTAAATTATCTTCTAAAACAACGATGCATAAAGTAACGTCAGAAATATATACGGAGAACGATTATATCTCTGAGAAGCTTGACAACGGAAGTAAGTTATGTTTTTGTAAACTTAGTTTAAAATATAATATATTTACTAGTTTAAAATATATAGTTCGTACTACACATTGCTAAATGAGACAATGCACAGCACGATTATGTGATTTTAGATGCAGTGACTAAATTCGTTTTTAAATGCCCGTCTTACATGATTGATTCGAAATCCGCAACTGACACATTAAATTACGATAGCGATGATGATTTGGATGTTGACAGAGATAAAGAGGGAATAATTCTAATAGGTATAAAGGTATATTTTATGTGTCGCTCATCGCTAACGATAGCGCAGTCACATGACTAAATGGTGGTCGTTTTTAAGCAATCATATCATCGCTAGAGATGATTCTCGTTGGATTTTTCCAACTACAAGCGATACTTTTGCACCAAAATGGCTGGCTGAAATACTAATATAACATGTGTTATACTAACTTAAATTTATATATTTGTTTATATCTTTTAACTTCTTATTGTAACGTATGATTTCTCACTGGTAGATATAGGTTCTGGACCTAATAATTCTTTGTCAATTTTGTCTCAACTTTTCAAAATTGCATTAAATTCATACAAAAATAAATGTTTTAAAATATTTATTTGTTATACAATAGTAGGCAAGATTGCATTATAAAATCCAAAATGCATTCTCTCCTCATTTTGAATAATAGATTAATCTAAAACCGTTTTTTTTTACAATAACTTTTTTTTTTAAATAAGAAATCATTGCAGCTACAGCTGCTATTTGTCGTTTTTTTTTTCAATATTTTTGATAAATTTCAGCACATCGTCTCATCTTATATTTGTTTTTGTTTCCATTAACATTTTGTTGCAATCAACCAACAATTGAACATTTATGTTCGATTAACATTTTTATATTTTGGAATAAATGATATAGTTTGATCATTATTATATTACTACAAATCGTCAAAATCGCGTCGGTCATCACTAGCGACAATTCACACTAAAGCGACTAAACTGAAATTTACAAATGTTAAATAATAGAGAATTATCTCGGGCTCTTTTATCAAAAAAACTGAAATTGTTAGCAATGAGCGACGCATGAAAAAATACCCTGAAGTGTTAAATATTATGTCATTTATTGTTATAAAAAAAAGAACAACAACAACAAAAGTTACGCAGAAAAAAATTGTTTGTAGAGCATAGCGTATCAACGGAACTCAACTTGGTCGGTTTGCAAGTGTGGAGAGGCGCGTTTTTATTAGCCGACTATGTTCTATCGTATCCAGATTTGTTCAAAGATCAAACAGTTCTAGAGTTGGGATCTGGAGTCGGTCTGACCAGTATTGTGGCGAGTTATTTGGCCAAAGAAGTCATTTGCACAGGTAAATATAAGTGTTCCACAGGTGTGTGAAAATGTCAAGTTTTTATTTATTCGCTTATTTCAGATATTAACGCAGGCGGTATATTGAATTTAATTGAACAGAATTTTATAAGAAATTATGTGTATGTCAGATCCGCTTATTGTATCGAGGAAGTGAATTTTTTGAACTTAGAATGGTCAAAACAATTGGAGAAGAGATTACAAAGCGCAAATATTATATTGGCTGCAGATGGTATAAATGTTTTTTGATTCTCCGTTTTTTGTTAACATGTATAAAAGACGGAGAAAACTAACAATACTGTTCTTTTTTCCGATCCGTAGTGATTTACGATGACAAAATTACGGATGGATTCGTTCGCACGTTGTCGAAACTTTTGTACACGAAAAAAAAGAAGACGGTTTATGTTGCTCTAGAGAAAAGATACGTCTTCAGTATTGCCGATTTGGACACTACCGCTCCAATGTACGAGGAATTTTTACGTTGCATCAAAAAATATAAGATGAATTGGTCCATGGAGTATGTGAATATAGATTTTTCACGTTACTTTAAGTATGATCGCGTCAAACATTTGGTTTTAATAAAGATACAAAACAATAGGAAGTCCGTTGCGTACATGTAGCAAATAGTTTACGCTCATAATAAAGTATTAAGTCGATAATACATACGATATATATAATTTAATATTATATGAAATATTTACGTCAGTATTATAAATAGAAAGGCAGGGATTATTCTAAAGCTAAATAGTATATATAGAAATTGTTAAAAATCTTGGATTATCACTGTAATGTTACAATTTGTTTTATATAACAAATTAAAGAGTGATAATCTAAGAATTAATAAAAGAGAAAAAATGAAGATATACCTATTGTGATAAAATGACAACTACGTAATATATACATCTCATGTCCACATATTTATTCCATTTACTTTTCTATTTACAACCTACCATAGATAATGCTATTGGACAGTGAATTAGAAGTCGCTCGAAGAGAACGATAAATTCCGTTTTGAACTTAAATACTTGACATGGCCGATGGGTGTCTCTAGGACTACAAAATTTCATTAGACTACTTATAATATAAAGAAGACAGTATGTATAAAGGAATGTAAGCTCTTCTTCGAACGACTACGGCAGTAGAAGTTTTGTGTATATGTTACACACAAATTTATAACAAGTCTAATGTTATACTAGAGGTCTGAACCGCCAGGAATACGCGCGCGAAAAAACGACGATCGGCAAAGAACAAGTCGAGTTTACATAACAATTGTACCGAGATGACAAACTTGTACAATTCCGCAAATAACGATTATTTTCTAACTAAACCGTCGACCGTCGTTCTATGGGTTCACAGACCTGTGCTTAGTTTGGTAAAAGGCACTTTCACTCTACCGATTCCGCCTCTTCTCTCTTTCTTTCTTTCTTTCTTTCTCTCTCTCTCTCTCTCTCTCTCTCTCTTTCTTTCTTTCTCTCTCTCTCTCTCTCTCTCTCTCTCTTTCTTTCTTGATGTAGAAAATGTAAAGTATATAATTTACAGCCTCACAAAGATTTGTGTTTAGACTTATATATAGTTTATATACATATATATGTTTATATATATATATGTATATATATATGTGTGTGTTTGTGTATGTGTGTGTGTATATATGTGTATATATATATATATAAATCTATATATATATACTGCAAAATCTCAGATTGCGAACGGTTACACCGTACTATTTTTTCACGATATACAGCGTTAACTTCTTCCAAAAACAAATTTAGCTATAATCACGATTAATCGTATTTAACATATGTCACGCTGTATAAAAGAATAATCTAATCGGGTCTAGAAAGACATTTTATAATCTCTCGAGTTATCTTGCAAGCAGCATGTGCAACTAAGAAATGTTATTTTATGCTGTACTCGCGTTATAGTCTCTTCCAGAAATATTTACACAAGCAAAATCCTTCATTTTGCTTCTTTTTGTTACAATTACATACATATGTAATAGCTACAAAACAATTTGCGTTATTTCTGGAATAACAAACTGGAATCGCATGAGTTTTGCAAAACAATTGCGGACATAGCGGTGTATATGGAAAATGTAAAATATGACGTATTATATAACATATACGTAAATAAAAGATTTAAAAAAAAGTGAAATAATAAAACATTACTGACTAGACAAAAAAAATACAAAGAAGAAGTAAGTTCGATAAAAATCACATATCCGCGAGAAGTATCAAGATATATACCTTTTATCGATATAGTTTATAATTTATGATTACCGATAGACAGGCAATTAAAATAAGTAATTGTTTACGAATATTTTTGTCATTTTAATATTCTTGATTTACCTCAGTAATTATTCACGTAAGTTTTAAAACATAAATCTCGAAAATCGATATAACAGCAGCTAAAACAATAGAACAATTATTATTCGTTTTATTTGATAAATTTTAATTGTATCTTAAATTTATAATTACTGCAACAAATACTGTACAAAAAAGAAGAAAATACACATTTCGAATTAAAAACGCGCGAAATCGGTCTCACTGCTACCGATGAGCGGTAGCTTTTGACAAACTATATCCGTTCGAGGACGGTTTATGATGGCGGCGATGGCAATGCCGCATCGCTGGTTGTCGCATCCAAAACCAATTTTCGCCGATTATACTTAATGATAGTAGCTCTCTCGCAACTCACATCAACTTCTAGCAGCAAAATCATGTTACTTTTCCGCATCAACTGCGCTATAGAGTTTGTACTTTTGCGCCTGGCCGGTAGATCGTTCGATTGCTTTCTCGAAAGCACGCTCTATTCCGATTGAACACACGTTGCTGGTTACAGAATTGTTTTGCAGCACGATGCTCCTCATCACAAAGCAGATCGCACCGCCAAGGAACGACAAAAGGGCCAACGAAATTCTTAACGATAACGGTCATCGAACTAACGTGACAGTCTTGACAAATGGGCGATGACGCACGCTATCGTACTAATTTACGTACTGACGTTGTGCACATTGTTGTGCATCGTGCTCTTAATGTTCTGTGTGCTGGGCGAGGCCAGCGGCAAAGAAACGTTCGTTGTAGTCTTTCGTCTAGCATTCGAACTCGAGGAGGCATCATTGAGCTTCGCGCCACTCGCCATACTACCAGCTTTGAACGCGTCCTGCTGCACAAATTGCATCTGAGCGCCCGTGGCCTTCCAGTGTTCCACTTGGGCTTCGTGTGACTTTTGCAGCACTTTGCGCACATCCCCGTCCTCGCCGCCCTCTTTCATGATCTCTTGCAACTTCTGTATAGTCTGATATAATATCACCGGACTAATCAGACCAAAGTCGAATAGACTGCACATATGCAGCACGAAGTTGCGATACAGATTCTTCATGAGCAATTCCTTTCCCTTACTTTCTAAGAACATTTGGCAAGCTAGTGGTATCTGGCAGTCTCCTACATAACCGTGTTTCATCACGTGCAGGTTCCACATTTTCATGAGCTCTTTCTCGCCCTCATTCACGTCCGTAAAATCGTCGATCATCATCATCGTTTTCGTTTGAAGCCATTTGGGATCGTTTTCACCTTCGGAATCGATATCCATCTCTTTGGGGTATATAGGTAGACAAGTAACGGTGTGATGATATAACCTAGAACATTTTTTTTATAATAGTCGCGGATTGTTTGTATAAAGTGACGTTTATTTTAAAATTTACCTGTTGTGCCCAGTGATATAAGGTCTCTGACTTTCGAATTCATTTTCATCGAATTCTAAGAACTCAGACAGGCTCGGTTTCGTTCTCTTCGGACGGCATACAAGGATATTCGTCACACTCGTGCGTCTAGTTGGTCCTGTCCTTGGAAAAGGTACACTAGATGGTTGCGAAATTAACTCGTGAGGACTACCTGCATACGAACCATCATAGCATTCATTTATTGCTACGTCTATTCGGGCACCTTGTGGAATTGGCTAGAAAATAGAAGCGTAAGGAGCCAAGAGATCGAAGAAAATAGGACACCGTAAATACAAATTATATTACTTACTACATCTGAATAAGTTGTGTAAATAGTGCTTACCACATATGTAAATGTAAATCGCGAGTGACATAACTTCAAATGCTTCAGAAGCGAGTACAGTTTGCCGCAACTCAATAAGCACCAAGGGCAGTGTAAATCTTCGCAGGCCTCCGTTTGCTGCCGGCTATTATTATTATATAAAAATTGATACACTATCTGCTGACCTTTGTTAGAGTTAGCATCCACTTTCTCGTTTGGTGCGCTTATTCTTGATGAGGTTGTTAACGGACTAGGCGTTGGCAGTGTCGCGTTGTTATTATTATTGTTCGTGCTATTATTATTGTGATTTACAGAAGAGGAACGCTCGACACCAACTGCAAAGATGAAATCACAATACGTTTATCGCAACGTTTTTGTGTGATGCGTGTTAAAGAGTGGCGATGCAATAACTACGAGAACTGACCGTTGGCCGATCGATTCTCTTTATTGTCGCCGCTCGGTATAGGAGGTATCGGCATCGGCCTGTCCACTAAACCGTTGCTTGGCTCCGTCGTCCAACTAAGTCGAAATTTTAACTTCGGCCCTTGCATGAACGTCTCGAAAGGTTCGCGGCATCCATTGATATCAGGCACAGTTTCCCAAGAGCTGTGCTTCTTGGGGCTAGATCTGATACTGGTCTGTACCTCTTGTAAACTTAACTCATATTCGCCATCCGTTAACTGGCACCGATTGTGTTTGTCGTAGACAACGAGTTCTGAACCGTACTGTTTCACTTCTTCGCTGGACTTGATGGAACCAGTGGATGACTTACGTCGTTTCTGAGCTGGCTCTGTAACAATATATACTTGAAAGACTTTTTGCAAAGCAAGCTTCACACTGAGAGAAAGAAAAAAAGAGAGAAAGAATGTTTTTACATTAACGCGCATACGTACCTTCTAAATCACAGTTAGTTATAAGGCAACTGTTGTTAGACATGCAGTAAACCTTGAGCAAAAGTATGTAAGTCTTTGCTATATGACCATTGTTCAAGCTGAAAGATTCATTTGGTATAGAAATCGTAGGTGCCATCGACGGAGGTTGATTCTCGGATGGATTGATTGGAACTTCGCTCGTACCAATTGAAACCTAATCGAACATCACTGTTTTACTCAACAATTGAGTTTTATGACATTAACAACTACTTTAACTCCAATAAATAACACACTTACTTGCATAATAGGCGAACTGACGTCTTTTCTTTTTTTGTGACAAATTTTCAACAATAACGTTTCCACTTTGACGGGATCTTGTGATACCTCAACTACAATTGCACATCACAAATCTTAAGAACCATATTATTATTATATAAAATGTCAGTATTACCGGAACCTGTCAAATTTGCACTAAAAACAGTGCCATGATAAATATACCTCTTTTATCATAAAATCCTAAAAACGTAAGAGTTATGTATCCGCGAACGCTGACGGTCTGTTCTTGTTTCTGTTTTGCTACTAGTTTGTCCAACATTGTGTCGATTTTAAATGCACGCCGTGATTTGTGACTTCTGGACATACGATGCTGCATATACGTTAAGTTTCTGTACAGAAATATTGGCTAAAAAAAGACATTAAATTTTAATATTAGTTTTTTCTCTCAACTGAAATTTGATTCATAATAATTAAATACTATAAGTGTTCAAAATATTGTATTGTACTTTGAAAAAGTTTCATACCTACCCATGCTACACAGAAGGAATTTATATGAAGAATTATTATAAGAAAAAAATGTATCAAGATAAAATATTTTAGAATTAATTAAAGAGATATAACTTACCTGACAAAATAAATATATAATAAATTTCAAATGCTTACAGCATAATGATTATTTATTTGTATATATTATATTTCGTTGAAAATTATTATTAACACTGTACATATTCAAAAGGTTTTTTAATTTATACAAACATGTGTTGAGGAGTGACCTCCGATTTGATATGATCAATTCAAATCAAAAGTTGAAACAGCTAAATGTTTTTTTTTATTTTTTTAGTTTTTAATTTGTTTGCACACTTAAATGGAAATATTAACATTTTAATACTTTGATAATTAATACTTTGAGAGCAACACAAAAAACCATCATAAGCAAACCAATTGAAAGAATAAAATTAATTATTGTTTACTCACTGAAAGTGTATTTCTTGTGCGAAGGAACCGGTAAATTTGTGTTGGTTCTGAAAACATACAAGAATTAAAGTTTTATATATATATATATATACACACACACACACACACACAGATTTTAAAATATTATGACTTTTATAAATATTAAAATATATGATGGTATGAAAAGAAACTTGTTATTGATTACACTGTATTGATTGTACTTGTTGTTAATTACATTAACTGTGTATATTGCTACAGAAAATAATTTAACATATGTTTAACATATAGTTAACAAAAATAATACAAGTTGTATAATAATTTATTGTTATAAAAATATAGAAATATTTTGTGTACATTTGTTTCATATTAATTTCACAGATATTAAATAAGTTTTTTTATATTTTGAAAATATGTTCTATTCGTATCAGATTCATTTCTTAGTTTCAGATACAATTCCTAGATGGCTTCAATGACGAACATATTCCCGAATATAAAAACTGCCTTAAAAGCTTTAAAGGACAGCATGAACTAGTGAACGCTGATCCTTCGCGGTTTTAAACTGGGATATGATGAATGGGTTTATCTCAAATTTCTATTTGAGACACCTGCACCCTGCATTGTTACGACATTTGCAGGTAAAACCTCTCTGATCCCATAATTTTTTTAATTTACTTAAGAAAATAACATTAACATATGAGCACTTGTAAAATAAACAAAATTTATCTACGAAATTTGTTTTCAGAAACAAAAATAAATATGTTTACATGTTAATTTTTATCTATCACAAAGATATTATATAAAAACATAATATGAAAACAATTTCATTAGCAAACATATTTCTTTATCCGCATTCATCAAACTCTTTATTCTTCCATGATAATAACAATACTATAATATTGTATTTATTATTTACTAATAATATTGTAAAATTAATTACAATGAAATATTTGTCAGAGCTTCAACTTGTACAAGTCTCGCATAAGACATTTGTTCAAATTTAACGTATTAAAGTACTTATATATTGTTAGTTTCCGTGTGGATTTTTTGCGAAAAAAACCATCTCACACAAATGAAAAATTATATATGTTGATTGATCTGTAGCGAGGTGCGAACGTATCGCGGAGAGAAAACGATGACAGGTGGCCGCGCGTTTCGGAGCCGTGGAGGGCGCGGAAAGCGAAGCGACGCGCGCCACGGCGGGTATCCAAGCTGATTTGTGACAAATAAGGGTTAGGTACAATCGCGACTAGTAAAAGATAATCGTGAACGATATCGCACGAGCATTGCATGTCTTTCACGAGGACAAGATTCGTCGCAGGAAAGTCAGAGTACATTTATTATGTAGTTTTATTGCAACGGACGACGGTGCCTCGCCGACAGGTGAGCAAAGGAAAGGGCAGAAAGAGTCAAAAAAACGTTGCTTACTTTCGAAGGCCTGTAGAAACAGTTCATGCTCGGCTTGGAACTGGTCCATTCGAGGTCCTTTCTGACTGTCCAGATCCTTCTCCCGCTTCTTTGGCGGCATTTTCGCGCGGTCCACCTAGCACGTCAATCTTTCCCACGGAAACTCCAACTTCTCGGTCGCGCGAAAATCTGGCGACGAACGACAACACACACGCCCCGCGCGAAAACTGCGGCGCTCATCAGCACTTTGCGGTCCACAGCGACTGGCGCGCCTCCTCGCAGTGCGTCGTGTATTGTCAACTGGTGCATCGTCTCGAACTACGTAACAGCAAGATTAACCGGATAACGAACCGAATGTTGACTCTAAAGGCCATCGCGCATGAATCTCCGTAACCATAAGCATAAGACATAAGCATAAGCTCGAAAACCAATCAAAAAGTAGCTTTAGATCAGAATACTGCAGTAAGTGTAGAAATAGCTATAAACTTAAACATAAGATAAGTTTCAGCCGGTTGAAATTTTTTCGTACGGAAAAATCTGCATATACGAGTTGCTACGAAAAGTTGTGTCATCTCAATTCTACTTGATCTCTGGTCAAGTAGAATGCAAAATTAATATATATTTGCATATCTCATTACAATCTCCATACAATGGGAGCTTTCCAGCCACGTACACAGCCGACACTGTGTCTATTAGTGTGAGAAAGAGCATATCAGTGTGTCTCACTCACACTAGTGGACACTGTGTTGCACAGTGTCGCCTGTGTACGTAGCTGAAAAGCTCTTAATGGCTGCTTTCTTTTTAGAAGCATAGACGTATAATATATAGACTGCGCGTTTGGCTGAAAAGGTCTTCAACGTTGAGAGAGACAACATACTTTGAATAGTAACTCTTTCTCTGTCTATCAATGTCTGTGGTAGGATCAGGGCCTACTGTTTTATATCACCTAATCTGCCATCACCCCTTAATCTCTTTCACTCCTCTTTACCCCCACTATTTTTCTATCCCCACTTTTCCACTACTATTCTATCAATCAGCGGAGACTTCTTTTTCCCCCACTACTTTGCTAGACAAAGATAAGGCTACTATTCAACACCAGTTGTCTCTCTCAACGTTGAAGACATCGAGTGCGTTCAGACAACTCAACAGTTGCACAACGGTTGAGAGATAATTACTTCTGATTGGATCATACTTTTGTGGACCCGCTGTAGATTTTGAAGAATAGTCCTATCATAAGTGATGATCTCTCAACCGTTGAGTTGTCTGAACGCACCCATTTTCTTAACATGGCAAAGGTCATAGACGTATAATATATAGACTGTGCGTTCCCTACATATATGTAATACTCCTATATTGCTAGTACGGTGCCGACCTGAAGCTCACCGTTACGGTGCAGACAATATAGTAGCCTCTCTCTCCAGCTGCTTTGTGCGCATGCGGCGCATAATGACGCTCGACCATCTATGCCCATATTTGGACTTCGTGCGTCTCCCTTTCTCGGGCCTCGTGCCTCTCATTGCGAAGATACGCGACTAGCAATATAGGAGTATTACATATATGGTTCCCTACCTTTGCTATGTTAAGAAAATGTCTTCAACGTTGAGAGAGACAGCTGGTGTTGAACAGTAGCCTCATCTTTGTCTAGCAAAGTAGTGGGGGAAAAAGAAGTCTTCGCTGATTGATAGAATAGTAGTGGAAAAGTGGGGATAGAAAAATAGTGGGGGTGAAGAAGAGTGAAAGAGATTAAGGGGTGATGGTAAATTAGGTGGTATGAAACAGTAGGCCCCGATCCCACCACAGACATTGATAGACAGAGAAAGAGTTACTATTCAAAGTGTGTTGTCTCTCTCAACGTTGAAGACATCTTTTCAGCCAAACGCGCAGTCTATAGGTCTGTTCGTTTTGCCTGAACTGGTCGCTCTGGGTCGCTCTGGGTCAGAGTTTATCCTTCTTTTTCCAACGTAGAGTAAAGAGAATGGGCTCTGACCTGGAGCGACCTGGAGCGGCCAGTTCGGGTAAAACGAACAGACATTATATATGGCAAAGGTAGGGAACGCGCAGTCTATACATTCTACGTCTATGGTGTACGTAGCTTCGGGGAAAACACCCTATAGAGTGCGCCATATATGCAAAGAAGAAGAAGAAGAAGGGGAAAACACTCGAAGTTGGCCAGAAATAATTGAAGTTTCTTATCTTTTCGTAAACATTGTTTGTACAAGAGCCAAAATGGCCGCAATAATCGTGACGGTCGTGTAGGTGCCCGATAAATGCGAAATAACTTTCTTAAACAGAAGGGGACCGTTATTCGCGTGAATATATTTCGAATTGTACAAGTCGCAAGAAAACAACAAACTTCTCTCGAAGCTCAGGAAAGTTTTGCGAGCGTGTGTTGCAAGTCAGAATGACTGAGGAAACGCACTCCGAGGATGCTGTGCAAACAGACGCTTCTGTGCCAAGTGATAACTGTCCTGTACAGAACGATGCGCAACCCAATTCTACGGATCCCGTGAAAACCAAAGATAATAAAAAAGAAAAATGTCGACCTCAGACAAAGGTTTGTTGAAACTAATGTATTTCTCATAATAGAAATTTAATGATAATTTTGTTGGACTTGCACATCATTTTCTGAAATAGTGCATGTACAGGTTATGTTTTTTTTTTTTTTTTGATAAGGAAACTAATAACTAGCTGTATAAAACAATAGGTACATTTTAACATTTGAGTAATGTCTGAGATTTTTTGTCTTGTGTATGTTACTTTGAGACTATTTAATAATTTTGTTAACTTGATTCATTTGCAAAATATATATGTTATTCATTGATTAGGTGGTGATCAGAAGACTGCCTCCTACAATGACTCAGGAACAATTCATAGAACAAGTCTCTCCACTGCCAGAACACGATTATTTTCATTTTTCAAAGGCTGACATGTCACTTGGACAATTTGCTTTTTGCCGTGCATACATCAACTTTGTTGATCAAAAGGATATCTTTGTGTTTCAAGAAAAATTTGATAATTATATCTTCATAGATTCTAAAGGAGTGGAATATCCAGCAGTAGTTGAATTTGCACCTTTCCAAAGATTACCAAAGAAACGGGTTGGCAAAAAAAAAGATCTCAAATGTGGTACTATTGAAAGTGATCCGTATTATATGAGTTTCTTAGACAGTTTAAAAAATCAAGAAGTCGATTCGAGTACAATTCAGTCAAAAACTGAATATTCCTACCAACCTCCAGATAGTAAGTATATTATCTGGATTATTGTGTATTTTCCTTATCCAAATTGGGAAAAGCTGGGAAAAGCAAAGAAACATGCACATACATATATGTGAAGCTTTACTCTTGTACACAGATACAGCAAAAAAAGTTACAACAACTCCTTTACTTGAATATCTGAAACTCCGTAAACAAGAGAAACAACGTATTAAGGATGAAAAACGTGAGGAGCGACGAAAAAGAGATATAGAAAGACGAAGAACAAAAGATGACGCTGTTATCTCTAAGGTAAAATATTCAATAGTATATCAAGTGCCAACAAATACAGTTTAGAATAAACATATTGAAAAAAATCATTTATTTTAACGGTAACTGCTAGATAAGCTTGGTCAAGAGATAGTTTCATGTTGTATATATATTATTCTTTGCTGTATTTGCTGATAATAATAATTTTCATCTGCAGCACACTTATAAAGTGAAAGATGACCAATTGACTAACTTTTCCATACCTCATACCGCAAATATTGAACTTGAAGATATGTTTTTCTCATGTTTTGTTGAAAACACAAATGCATATAAATATAATGAGGAAATTCTCCTCAATAAAATTGTGAACGAACAGACAAAAACCAAATTATACAAGACTCATCAAAGATTTTATGAAAACATTAAAAAAATCAAACCAATTAGAAGTATGTTTGATGTCAGGAAACAATATTTAAATGACAATAAACAGACTAACAGCAAAGTGTATTTCTGTTTTCGCAAAGGCGATCGTGCAAGAAACAGCGTTTTGTAAAGTAAAAAAAAAAGTTTATTACGATTTTGTTCTTAACACTTACAGTGCAATAATAAAATGTGTCTTTAACACTAGTAGTCGCGAATTCCATCGCTGACTTTCATGTGCAAAACAGTTGCGGTATGATAGTTTGCCGAAAGAATACGTTATCTCAAAAAGGCATTTAAAAGAATGGAATCTTTGCGAATTGATCTGCTGCTGTGCCGTGAGATACACAGAAAAATTGATGTTGACATTTGACCAGCGTCGATTCTCGAGAATGGAGCACATGACAGATTTAATTTGATATATAAAATTTTCTTAAAACTTTTATGTAGTTCTATTACATGTACAACTTATCGTGTCAGTGTTTTCGTATCTTCTGTATTAAATTTTTGAAAAAAAAACTTGTTTTGAAAAAGAAATGTTCAATCAAAGGTTTGATTGAACAACAATTGCAATTTATATATTTTGTCTTAGTAAACTTACGCATAAAAAAGTAATTACGACAAAATAAACAATCACGCAAGATGTAACTAGAAAAAGTTTGTAGAACTATGAATGAAACAGTAAAAATGAATAAAAACGATAAAATAGCGCAAATATAATTTTGTTTTACTTTTACAGTTTTTAAGAAATCTGGACGTAGATAAAGAATCTAGAGACGATAAAGAAAATAAAGACGAGAGAGACAAATTCTTACCGAAGGATATGAAGAATAAAATCAAAAGAGATGAAAAAATGAGAGAAAAATCATTGCGAGATAGAGAAACTAAACCTATTATTAAAGGATATAGAGTTGATGATAGGAATAAAGAAAGGGATATAAAACAACGACGGTACGATGAGAAAAAAGTTTATGGAAGACGCGACGATCGAGAGATCGTGAGAGAAGAGAGAAGATTTGATCTCAAAGATGACAGAAGATATGAGACGAAGGAAGAATTTAGAGAAACTAAGGACAGAAAGGTGGAAGAACGACGAGGTAAAAGCTACGAGAAAATGAGACAAGAGAAGAAAAAGTTGGCGGATATGAAGAAACAGATTGTCGACGCTAACGGAGACGATGCGAGTTCAACGAAAGTAAAAGAGGAAGAACATGATATGATAGAAAAAGAAGAAGATAGGAATAATAAAGAATCGGTACTTAACGAAAACGATTCAAAGTTGTCTGCCAGAGACAACGATTGCAAACGTGAGATTGCTGAAGACAGAGTAGCGGACGCAACGCAAACTATCTATCCAGACGGTACGGAAGAAGAGAACGGTCCAATTAATACAGGTAAAATTAACAAAAAAGTTATTTGCGTGATTCCGATGAAACGCGCTCTTGCGCTCAGAATGCGCTCATATTTATTTTACAAAACGAGTAGCTCCTATTTGTAATTACGAATATAAGAGAATCAATCTTGAATTATGTTAGATAATAAATGAGCAAGAATATTTGTAAATGTTTCTATGACAACGACGTATTACAATAAACGCATTAAATACAGATGCAAACAACAAGGAAACATCCGAAGAAAAAGAACCGAAAGTTGTAAAGAGACGTAATTCTCTCGAAAGTAGCAGCGAAGGCGGCGCAGGCGACGGTAATTGTTTGCGACGTCACAAATCGTTAGACGGAGGAGGCCAGAGCGACCTACAAAAGAATGAAAATGAAGAGAAGGAGAAAGATAAAAAAGATCCACGACTGGAACGTAGAATACGAAATAAGGTGGGATATTTGCGCTTCGACGCGCGTCTTAATATGTGTCTGAATATATTTAACCGAGTTTCTAAGAGCTATATGTGATCCTTTCAGGATCGTCCAGCGATGGAGATTTACAGACCCGGCATGGGCAAGTTCAGCAAGCAACGGTTAGAACGCGAGAAGTCCAACAACGATGACCGAGCGTCTCTTTCACAGAGTCCAACGCCGAATTCCAACACACAAACTAATAAATCTGGGAAAAGTGGAACTACGGAAGTGCGCTCGATGACATTCAAACGCAGCTTTGCTCGCGATGCGGCGTAACGAGTTTCCTTTTCATCACTTCAACAATCCATTTAAGATGGACTCGCGGAGTCGATAATGTCCCGGTCGAGTCTTCAATCTTGCAGTAGATTTATTTAATCATCACATGTATAAATGTATAATTTCACACGTAATTGTTTAAATTACTTTGCGTATATATTATTTCGCGTTTTTTTTTTTTTTTCTAGATGATTTTATTACTGTAATATTACGACCGAATTTTAGCACATAAATAAATATACAACTCTTTGTTATAACGTGCTTGATGATCATTTTGCTTTTTGATATAACCATCACTGCTCAACATGCACAATGACAATTTTTCAAAACTTTATGTAAAAATTGTTTATTTGTGTATAAAAATTATAATTTCTTCATATTTTAAGTAATAAGACATTTAATTTACAAGTTATTATTTACGTAATCGTGTCGAACTTCTGGTTGGAGTTGCCGACAACACATCCGTATTTCTAGTTCGTTTTGAGGATGGCGATGCGATAATGCTACTGTCGAATGTCTTAGTATATCTCTTCTTTTTTGAAAGACTGTGTAGTGTTTTACGATCACCAGATGGTGGTGGCATCAAAGACGTGTCCGACACTTGAGTCACCTTTTCTTTTGAGTTTTCTTCTAAAAGTTCTTGTATCTTTTCTTCTAATTCCACGCAAACATCTTTTGCGTCCGTTTTCTTTTTTGTCTGCTCAATAATATTTTGCAATGCCATTTGTACTGGTTTGTAATGAATTTTCTCTTTCAAAAGTGGTAGACTTTCAATGAGGCGGCGTATACCTTCAATGGGAAAACAAAATTCTTTGATTTCTGATCATTTATATTATGAAAAACTGAAAGTTTTGTTCGACTCACTTTTGCCACTAAATTGCAGAAGAGAAAGACAGTAAGAAAGATCACGCCATTGTCTCTCTGTGGCGGCCAATTTGAATCTAGCGCAAATCTTGTCAATTATAGTATCAATTTGTCTCTCTTTCTGCATTAGACCGAGAATATATCTGCAAACAAATGAGAAAGTTGGTCGCATGCTTTATCGGATATATATACCGAACTATATGATTTTACCTGATTGTTTCCTGAAATTCTTTTTCGCTCAGATTTAATTCAGGATCTGCCAAGCGCGACAAGATGTCCGGTACTATATTGTATAGGGTGTTGCCTTTCTGAGCGAGTTGAGTGAAGAATTCTTTTGTATTCTGCCGTATCTCCTCATCCTCGTCGATTATGCAAAGAACCAATTCCGAAACCTGCCCCTTCACGCGTATCATCTCTCTCATTATCAGATTCGACAACGTACGCACGCATGTTCTACGTACATTTACATTTTCATCTCGGAGTCTACATAAATATTAATAATCGTTAAACGATTTTCAATATCAAAAACATATATTTTTAAAAGATAAATTTTTTTAATGCTAATGATTAACTTACCTGCCATAAATGTGCTTTGACCACGGCTCAACTTGATTAGGAAATCTAATAGCGAGATCGCTCAATCCGATTAACATATTCGATCTGATTCCAGGATATGGCGATCGTTCTAATATGGTGACCAAAAGTTGTAATGATTTTTCGCAGAATTCCGAGCTGACCGTCATCATTTTACAAAGAGCAACTGAACCCGCGGCTTGTAGATTTTCATTGTTGTACTTGTCAGGATATTGACACACATCCAACACTAACGAACTGTAATAATCACGTATCATCTTACTATTCGGTTAAATCTCTCTTATATTGTTATATTAATCGTACACATACACAAACTTCGCGAGTATTCCATTTCCGGTAACAATTTCGTTTTCGAGCGCGGCATGTATAAACTCCGCCTCGGCATCATCTACAGCACCTTCCAAAGCCTCTTCACCGTTGTCCTCGCTTGTAGAAAGCACCGAATCTCTTCTTCGAAGAATTCTTTGCGCGCTCGCCGGTGTCGGCAATATTTTGCTTCTGATATCCGGTGTAACGGACGCACGTTTCAACAAAGATTTATCCTTTCTAATATCCGGCGTCGCAGATGCACTCTTCGGCAATTGTTTCTTGTTTTTACCTTGCATCTCTCTCAACATGTTTCTACGTTTCAATTCTCTATAGACGGACATATCCAAGTGAATCATCTGTTTGATAGCGATGTGTCCAACAATGTAAAGCAATTTAGACAATTCAGTATATGAAATACTTGAGGTTTGATTTGTTTCCTTGCTTCGATCTTTCTTAATGATGTCTAGCAACAAGTCCTTCATCAACTGATCAGGTTTATTTGCCAACTGGAACATAGTAAACTTCTCTTTCTCAACATGATGTTCCAAATATATTTAATAACCCTCGGAAAACACACTGGGTCAATTTGACCCTGTTCGTCGACTTTGATCAAAATATTTTGCTCCAATTTTGCTTTTTTGTAACATATCTTTTACAATGTTAATAATGTTAACGACACTTTAAAACTATATAGGCATATTCCAAACTGTTCAAAATATATCCGAAAATTTTTTCAAGCCAATCGGATAAGTGCATTTTAAATGGTAGCATCTCAAAAAGTGAACAGGGTCAAATTGACCCAGATTGTTCTTCTTGATTGAAAAAATAGGTGTGTTCCCCGAGGGTTAATAATTAATATGTGACGAATTTCACTTACGTGATATACAGCGTTGATCGCGTCTGTCGCGAAAGAGATGAAAGTATTCACCTTCGCGTTGGTATAAGAATCTGTTAACAACGACAAGATTTCTCGAAACATATCGTGATTGTTAGGATATCTGTAAATGAGAAAAATCTCACTTTTAAATCGCAACGCGTTTACAAACCTTGTATTTAGTCTACTTTCAACATTTTTTTTTACGAGTGCTTACCTCAAAGGCGGTTTTTCGATACTGTTGTTATTCTGTTTTATCTTTAATAACATTCTGCATGTATCTCGTGCTAAAAGCAGATCTTCTCTCGCACGCAAACTTAATCCCATTTTTATCAACACGTCCAGATTATCGATGACTATGTTAGTTTCTGCCTGAGCTATCATTGTCAATATCATTAATGCGGCTCTGCTGTCTACCGGTGATGTGGCTGGATACTTCATGGAAAACTTTTCCCACAATATCTAGCACGTTCATCAGAGTTAAAATATTTTCTAATTTCTATCTCTACGCGCGCGTACACGCATATTTATATTATTTACAACTAAATTACCTGCAGCAATTCACTGTTCAATTCGTCCTTTTCATACCACGTAGCTATCAATTCAGCCAGAGCCGGACTCTGTCCAGGCTTCAATTCCTTTAGCAAGTCGATCAGACGATTCACGCGAACAACGGCTACTTGACGATCGGATCGCTTGTCGTTATTGATGTTGAGATAGATGTCTTTGTACACGATAGCCACGTTATTGCGCACAGATTGATCACGATGGAACACTTGAAATAGAGCTTCGCGCACGCAATCGGCCGCGCCGGTTACTCCAAATTGAAAAGCCGTCCCCAAAAATGTGCACGATTCGACAGCGTCGCCGGCGCACGTCGAGAATAGAAGTCTCCTCGCCATTGGTATTGCTTTCTCCAATCCTGTCGCAAATTCGAGACAATTCTACAAAAAAACACAAATGTGAGAACGTTTATGAACCTTTATGATTATTATATTAGTTTGTGTATATTGTGTACTTGTAAATAATTTATAACGCGTTTTCGAGTGTTTATCTCTTCCATTTTATTGTTTTGTTCTAATTCCAGCTCCATCTTGTTTGCATCGTTCGCCCGTTTATCTAGCTCTTCGTTTTCGTCGTTCTGCATGTCTGCATTAAAAAAAAAAAAAAATTAAATTTATAATATAACAAAAGCTAATCAATTAATGCATAAAACAATAATTAATACGAACCATTTGTGTCTGCACATTGTATTTCATCATCACTTCCAAGAATCTTTTTTATCACCGTTTTTAATTCTGGATCCAAAGCGACCAAGATCTGCAATAATTTTTGCTTGTCTGCGTGATTACTAGAACTCACAATTTGAACTAATAATTCTTGCAACTTTGCTTTTTCTTTTTCCAAACTCTCGGTGAGTTCGACACAATTTAACTGCAATGTAGAAAAGTGCATAAAATTACACACGTTGTTAAGATTATAATACGCGCGATTATATATCTCCCTTTAATCTCATACCTTGCCGGCGAATGGATTACTTTGCAACAAAGCGCGCAACAACTGTAAGGCTTGCTTGCGAACATTCGCGCTTTTATCTTCTAGTCGTAACGCGGTGGCGGCTAAAAGCTTCCCGTATCTTGCTAACGGCACAGCGCCCTCGCAACACAAGTGCTGCCAAGTTTGAAGTACCTTCGATCTCACATAAGCATTGCAATCGAGAATGTGCTCTTCTAAAATGTCTAAACATTCGTCACGACGTTCTCTTTGTTCGTCTGTGAGATTTTCGCCAGTTAATGCTTTCTGTACGACCGCACCCAAGACACCGATCACGCAGTTCCTCATTGTATAAAACTGTGCAAAAGCAAATTGCTGAAATTCTTAAAGTCATGCTGAAACACAACTCTAACTTATATACAACTTAACTCTTTTCTGTTGAATTAATATTTATTCAAGTAGAAATTTTGTGACAACATACGTCGTTTGACATGTAATCCGTAATTTCGTCTAGAATAGGAATTATAAGATTTGGCTGCAAAATTGCAATGTTTTCGAGAAACGTGGACACATTGCGGCTATCGACTTCGCCAACGTCAGTATGTCCAATCTCATTCATTACTTCTTTTATTAAACCATTGCAACCGCATTCAGTGACCATATGTACCACACCAGATGCTATGGGAACTGCTAGCATGTCACACAATTTTACTAACTACAAACATGACAAATATTGTACATATCATATATATTTAGAAAAACATGAAATAAAATTTGTAATCAAGTTTTTTTTTTAATATTTTTTAGATACATACTTGAATAATTCTAACAACACAAGTTATTCCATGATTGTACTTTTTAATTAGAGTTCCTAGAATCTGTGAAATCAAAAGACCTTAACTATTTACATAACAGAATGCGTCCGCTTTGGGCACACACATGCTTTCAGCGTCAGTTCCATCTTTGTTCTACATTTAAAGAGCAATAAAGACATACTGACACTTAAACCATGTAAACGTTCAAAGCAAACCACCAGAGTCACACATAAATATAAACAACATACCTCAAATAAGCTTTGTCTTATGTATTTCTGCTTAGCATCTTTACATTGCTCCAATATCTTGTAACACATTTGTGCTACAGTTCTACAACAGTTAAAGTTATTAGATGTAAAGTTTTAAAAGGAGAAAGAATCACTTGATATATATATATATATATATATAACTTACGAGACAAAAGAGTTTTCAACAATTGGTGGTCTAAAAAGTTTATATAATGGTATTTGTAACCATCGATACAAAAGTTCTAAAACTTTCTGTCTGGATTGTTCCCAGTCTTCCTCAATAGATGATTTGGTTTTTTTACGCTAAAAATAATCAATTATATTTTCTTGTTTTGTAATATATAATTGTATGAAACTTCTGTAATCTTTTTATATCACATGTGACTTTTTACAGTATTTACTTTTCCAATATTAATAGTTGTATTTTTTGAAACATATTCATCTATGTGACAAGTAAACCATGACAACAAATATGCTAGCATCTTAGTAATGCACAAATATGTTTGTCTATCTTCTTCTGTAATATTCTCGCCATGATGAAATACTTGTTCCAAATCATAAACAAGTGCTTCTACACCTGAAAGTTATTTGTATTTTCATATGTGTGTGTGTGTATAAAAATAAGTTAAAAAATAAAATTAAAATATTACATTTAACATGTATTGAAATTATTTTTCTGATCACATTCATTTAAACTGCAAAATATATCTTTGTAATACTAATTATCTAAGATTAAACTAAGATTACCTTTGTAAATTCTATTGAAAGCACGTAGACATACATCCAGTTCCACTTTACTACCATGAACAATAATAGAGAAAAATGTATCAAAATGATCCAGAATAAAATGCGCTCGTTTTGCTTGCAATGCTGATCTTGTAACTGTAATACACAAATATGTTAACACATCTGATTTTGTTTATTTTGGTCTTTAAATATTACTTCATTGTTTAATGAACTAATTTTCACAATGATTGAAGAAATTATTAATGCAATTGCTACTAGCACTAAAGCAACTTATTATTGTTATTACTTGCAGAAAAGATTAAACTTAAAATCTATATTTGCAATTACCATCAAGAGATTGTGTTATTGTTCGCAGAGGAACGATCTCGTCAACAAAATACTGATCGGCATGTGACGTTAAAAGCTCATCCTTCACAAGAGGAATTACAAAGTTTTTCACCATTTTAATGTTGTTTCAAATTCTAGAGGTTTCATAAAAAAGATAGTATCTGATAATCACAAAATCCAACTTGCCCAAACTGACATTATTTTCAATTTCAGTACCGACAATCTTAAGCGATAAAACGCACGCGATAAAACATAAAGGGCCGTCTACAATAAAAGTATAGACAGAGAGAAACCCATATATGTAAGGCTGCCTTTACATGCGGCGTAACTTGCGTAAGCGTAACTTGCGCCAAACTCCGTCAGCCAATCAAATCGTTTCATCTACTATATGCATATCCGCTTAGTTATTTAACGCATTTTACGCTTTTGCCGATACGCCAAATCCAATTTTTCACAAAAATCGGTAATGCATATGTATTAGTGATGTGTGTGTACGTGCGATCACCAAGTATTGTAATGTAATTTGACTCACGAAAATTAGAAAAAATGGATCAAAATCAGGTAAGGTAACAAGTTCTATAACATTCTATATAAAGTTTCTAAAAATAATATATTTGATACTTGAACATAATTCGGTACATTGCTTGCACAGTATGACAAGATAATTTTAAGGTTATGCCTAATAATTTGTAGGAAATATATAGAGTTGATGTCAGGATTGTGATTGAGGACGTTGAATCACTTCACACTTTGCGTATTTCTATTACGTGTATTTAAGACTGTTACAATTAACACTTCGATTAGCTCTCTGCTTAGTCGTCTCGCGCGCGTGTCAGCTCGGAAGCGATTAACGCTCTCGCTCCTTCGCGGCAGTCGCTCGATTTTTGATCGGGAGCAATCGGCCAAGCCGATTGCTGGCGAACGCTGTTTATCCGCCCAAAATGTCACGCAAAAGGAGCGTGACACGTGTGTGAACACGCTACCAGCTGATATCATACGAGATATGACATGATCTCGTATATTCCTTACAGCTCGACCATCCTGACGCCGACATTCGACTCGATGTCGTTACTGCAAGGAGCAACAATTATATAGTATTAATGTTACTTACAAATAAAGTAGTTTTTTAACCAGAGTATTCTGTTTTCTCTCTTTTTTTTCTTTTTTCCCACCACCAAAGATAATTTTATTACTTATAACTTACAAGTTAACTTACTATCTACGGATATAATCTAATTTTAATAATTAGAATTAAATGTATAAGTACATCGCCATTATATACATATATTTGTACGCCACTTATATATACTTTTGTTGGATGTCGAGGAGGGTCGGGTGATTAAGAAGAAGTTCTTTGCTCGAACTTATTACGATGTCCTTTATTGCTCCTGTTCTTTACAACTTTCTTTACACGGCTACGTCTCACTGCGGTAAACTCTCCGGCTTGCGGAGCCACACAGTGAGCTAGCAGTCCCAACTCAGTCTCTCTCTGCTTCATCTACGCGATCGATTTATAGTAATCGATCGCGCTGATTCAGCAGGCCCACCGGTCCTAGCAACGGCCGTGCTAGTTACCGGTGCCGGTGCCGACACATGCTGCGTTTGCACTTCACACAACGCGGCGATGTGTCGCGCC